TTTGTTGAAACTTTAAATTAAAATTTTCAAACAAACGTCAAAGTATGTATTAATATTGTAATTGTATTGCGAAACGTATTCATTTTTTAATTATTGTTGTACTTAAAAATAACAAAATTTCTTTTTGTGTTAGTTTTCTTGATTATTTTCTCGAAATAGAATTTTTCACTATTTGACAGAAAATATTACAACTGTCAATATCCGCAAATTCTTTAACGTCAAAATTTTGATTTTAGTCTGCAAACTGTCTGAAACTAAAACTTTTACGGACAGAAATCTAGTAAACTTTTTACCCGTAATTGACTTTGAATTTTGATCATCCGTAAACGTCAAAACAAAAAAAAATTTTTTTTTAGATTTAAAATAATTTTATACTTACATATTAAAAATTAACAATAAAAATATTTTTTATATTATTTTTAACGTAATGATAGTCACTCAACACATGAAATTTATTTACTGAATTACTACGTCAGACTGTCTGCATGTAAAAAAAAAAATCTACAATTTTGACGCTTAATTGACTTTTTTTAAACGTTTAAGAATTTAAACTTTGACTGAGAGTAAAAACGTAGTAGAGTATCCGTAAACTCAGACAACTCAGATTTTGTAAAATTTGACGTTTAAGAATTTACCCTATATTGCGTAAGTATCACATTATTGTGTTTGCGAAAATCTATATATGTATTAATTTATTTAAATAATTATTCTTGGCAACATTCGTGACATGTATAAGAGCGATTTTTTCGATACCCGCTTTACTTTTAACGTAAAGAACGCATTTAGGAAGTGTACATGTCAGGAGCTTTTACTAAACTTTTTGGAACGTAACCGCAAATTCTTTAACGTCAAAATTTTGATTTTAGTCTGCAAACTGTCTGAAACTAAAACTTTTACGGACAGAAATCTAGTAAACTTTTTACCCGTAATTGACTTTGAATTTTGATCATCCGTAAACGTCAAAACAAAAAAAAATTTTTTTTTAGATTTAAAATAATTTTATACTTACATATTAAAAATTAACAATAAAAATATTTTTTATATTATTTTTAACGTAATGATAGTCACTCAACACATTAAATTTATTTACTGAATTACTACGTCAGACTGTCTGCATGTAAAAAAAAAAATCTACAATTTTGACGCTTAATTGACTTTTTTTAAACGTTTAAGAATTTAAACTTTGACTGAGAGTAAAAACGTAGTAGAGTATCCGTAAACTCAGACAACTCAGATTTTGTAAAATTTGACGTTTAAGAATTTACCATAATACTTTGCTATAGTTTACGTTGTAAGATTTATTTTCTATTAAAGTCACGTATTATTTTTTATTAAAGTAAATTTTCATTATTAGTCACGTAATTTTGGTTTTTTTTTTTCTTCAAGTTTATTTAACAATTTTATTCTCTAATTCATTGCAAATCCTTCCGCAAACGCAATTCCGAGACCGTTATTATGATCGGCGAAGCGATTGAAATTTACAACCAACTGTAAAACATGGGAAAGGAGCTGGAATTTGAAATTCGGCTAGAATTTTGATTAATAGTGGTACTATTAATTAAAATAAATACATTGACATTTTAAAGGCAAATTTAAAAAGTGCTGATCGCTTGAAAATCAAAAAAAGCTTTGAATTTTACCAGGAAAATTACCCCAACCACATTATTTATAAGATTCAACTATGGTCACTTTACAATAGTCCAAAAATTTTACAAACATCTTCCATCTCCCGATATCAATCCATTAGAAAATTTATAGCAAGAATTAGAAAAATCGGGTTTTCGTTTATTTTATAATAGTTCTAACTTGTAGTACGTTCAAATTCACGCTGCACACTAAAAATATTGATCGCTCGGAAATTACTGGCTGCAATAAAGTGCGTTCGGAAATTCAATCCGCAATAAATTAATGTAGCGCAGACCTTTAGTATAAATTTTATTGCTGCCTCAAAAATTTTATTTTCTTAATTTAAAATTCACAAATTTTAAAATGGCAGATTTAAATATTGAAGCGTGTTAAAGTTTTGTTTAAGTCTTTTAATCTTATTTCTTTATTTTGCAGTGGAAGGCGAAAAGCATTGGAACATAATTTCATAAACAATGCCATTCATGTTATTATACGATAGATTACACTAAGTCCTCGAGATACGACATTTTTGATTCCAGAAATTTATGTCGTAACTCGAATTGTCGTTTGAGGAAAAAAAATGTATGGAAACAAAAAGTGAACTAGACAAACTGTTTTATAAAATAATTGATCTTTTTTTTTTTTAAAAAGGTAACAAAGTTTGAAAAAACAACAAAATATAATAACAAAACCAAAAAAATTCAATTTTGTAACAAAAATAAATAAAATAAAATCTGATTAAGTTGATATTTTATCACTTCAATTCATAATCTTAACTACTAACTAGAATTTTTAACAAAAAAAAGAATTCATTATTGAAGTATGTGCTTTAGTTTTGTCTTAACTAGATTCGGTATAGATTTTTATTCAAAAAACAGTAAAATCTGTCAAAAAAACAATTTTTTTTTTAAATTTTCAATGCCGTATTAGGAACAATGTCGTAAGCCGAATAAAAATGATCCAAATTTATATCATGTCGTAACTCGAAATGTCATATCTCGAGGACTTAGTGTATTTAGAAGTTCCAGAACTTTTAGACTGCAAAAAAAAAAAAAAAAAAAAAAAAAAAAAAAAAAAAAAAAAAAAAAAAATTAGTTAGTTTTTGCATACTGTTTAACGCTGCAACTTAGAAATTTTAGTTCTAATGCAGAACTTTCAATGCAGCGGGCATAAACGAAAACTCCCAAACGACTTTGAAAACAAATATCCAGTGCAAGCACTCTTTAAGCTAAATTACTTGAAGAATGCAATTAAATAACGCCCGAAATTACAAAGCTTGTTGAATCGATTAAAATGTGTCATTGGGAATAAAACCCATTCGAAAAGATAATAGATTAGAATTAAATAAAGTTTGAAAAAACTATTAAAATTTTTAAAAAATATCTTTCACATTTTGTTTTTGAAGTTATATTAAAATAACGTTACTGTACGAATACGAGTGGGAAACACTATAATTTTTTTTATTGAATATTATAGCATTTATAGTGATATAATGAAAAAATCTAAACTAACCAAAAGCAATTCGAGCAGCATTTAAATAAATTAATGTATCATAGCTTTAAAAGGTAATTCGTTTCACATAGTCGACCATTCGGCTCGTTAAGGCATTCGCTTCACCCATCATAATAAGCAAAATTTATGTACATTATATATATATGTATATTTACACATCTATAAAAATATGTATATACATACATATATATATATATATATATATATATATATATACATATACGTACAATCAGTCAATCAATTTCCGAACCCCTCCATACAAACTTGAAACTTATTTTTGATTTACTTTCTGAGTTTGATATATACTAGGTCGAACAAACGAAATGTCACAAAATATTCTTTGATGTACTTAAATTGTAAAAAGCGTTGTTATACGAGGAATTAGTGTAATTTGATTAGCGTAAAAATGTATACCTACCTTCATATAAACTATAAACAAAAAAAAAAATTGAAAAGAATTTATGTTCTTTTCACTCCAGATAAATTGAATTGCTCGCCATAATATTTCAATTTCACTGCTTAATTGACTATTTTTTAATTGTATGTATATCTTAAGCATTATTTAAGTTTTATATCTTCTTTATGAAATTTAAAACTTAACGCACTTGAACACGTTTTTTTTTTTAATTTATCAACATATATTAAAAAATTACACTATGTTGTTACAGAACCCAACTACCATAACTTCATCACTTAAGTTCTTTTCGATTAAAAAAAATTATTTTGTTTCTGCGAATTATGAATGCGTTTATTTCATAATGTGTACCGAAAATCAAAATTAAAAGCTACTTGTCAATCTTAGTAGAACAAAAAAAATTTTGTCAACAAATGTAATTTGGAATTAAAACTATAAGTTGACATTAGTTGCAATAAATCGTTCAAAAAATTTTAATTGTTTGTTTTAAATATAAAAATTTCATTTTAAAAATTGTACATAAAATGTTGTACCCACCTTTATAAATATGCGTACCAGCTTTCATCCAAAATTATTTGTACTTTTCGTTTTTAAAAGAGTATAAAGTGTTTTTTAAAGTTTTTTTTTTTTAATTTTCAAATCACTTTCACTATATTTTATCGAATCAATTTAGATGCAAAACTTCTGTAACTTTTTTAAATAAAAATACCGCCTTTGGTTAAAAATCGAATTCCAAATAGAATTTCAAAATAAGAATTTACAAAATTACATTTCGTTACAAAAAATTAATTGATTTTACATTTAATTTTTAATACATACTTACCATCATTGATTGCTAAATTAAATATCAAATCAATCGGATACAATTAATAAAGTTTTGCTACTAAATTTTAATCGAAAACTCACTATACTCAGAATAATTGATTTGTTGGAGAATAAATTCCATTTAACTAAAATTCATTTATTCTCAACCATAATAAACTTTTCCACGCGATTATATACCCGATTCCCGACTTCATACTTTAAAGTTATAATAAAATTATGTATTTGTATATAAAATGTAAAACTGTAATATAAAAATTTCTAAGTTTTGCTTGGAAAATTGTTAAATAAATTTCTATTGTTTTGTTTAAGGATAAAATCTCAATGCTATTTGCTTTTACTAATTTTAAAATTTTTTTTTTGTTCTTTTTCCATTTTACCTTAGAAATTTTTCTTGAGGGTAAATTTAATTTTGTAATGAATATTGAGTTTAAAGATGTGAAAAATGCTTTGCTTCATTTTAAATTAACAGGCATACAATATAAATAGTTCTTTTTTGGAGTATACATATACAGCATGTGTATGTAAATGTAATATCCTCAATAGTTATTACAATGAATTAAATAACAATATGTATATTACCCCCGGACTAATACTAAATTCCTATTGAATATTGCCAACTAACCTTGTGCTTCAGTTGCAGATTGATCACCTGCATCACTAACATAAGATTCCGAAAACGATGGTTGCTGTTGTTTTATTGTTGATGTTGTAGCTTGCACAGCCGTACCTGTTCCACTACCACCAACATTAGCACCAGTTTCATCATTTTCAGTAAAATAACTTTCATCATATTTCATATCACCATAAGAATCATCTTCAACGTATGTAGCTTCTTGTTCAACTGTCTCTACATCACCCCCCGCATCTTCAGCATATTCTGGCTCTGATTTTGTTGGTAATTCTATTGGTAAGTCTATAAATTCAGTTTCATTATTTGTTTTACTCTCCGTTACAGTTTGAACTGTAATTTGTGTTGGTTCACTTGCTTCTAAAGGATCTGGTTGTTGTACAAGTTTAGTTCTTTTTACGGTGTGAGGTGTAATACTTTTTTGGGCAACACGTTTTTGAGCCGAAACTACTGTTTGGGGCTGTATTTGAACTGTTTGTGTTTGGTGCTGTTGGGTTTGTTGTTGGGTTTGTGTTTGCTGTTGCTGTTGTGTTGTTTGAACTTGAACCTGTATGGTTTGTGGTGTAGATGTTGTCAACGGTGCGGTGGAGGTTTGTATAACTATTTGAGTAGCCTTTTCTACATCACTATCATCAGTTTCTATTTTATATTGTTGAGTTTGAGCCTGTGTTCTCGTCCTCGCTTTGGGCCTTGGTAATGATGTCGTCACGGTTTGTTGCGCTTGTGCAGGTATTTGTTGTGGAGCAGGGGTTGATGGTTTGGCCGGAGATTGTGAGGGTGCAGGATCTCCCTATAAATGAAAAAAAGGTTTTGGTTTTTATATCTATTAACTTTAGAACTTCTTATACTTTTTTTGATTCGGAATTTTGTAATTTGAATATGCAGACCCATGTATGTATTTATGTAGTACCTTTGAAATAATTTCGATTTACCGGCATGAAATTAGCTAATTTGATTTTTGAAATGATTACATTTATAAGAAACTATAAAAAAATTAGAAATTGGTAGACTGAAGGGAAATTAAAAATTTATGTATGTACATATGTATACATAAGTACGTATTAAATAAAGCTTAGATATGCGTTGAATAAATATGTATGTGCATGTAAAATTTAAAATATGCAAAATCAATTTATATAAAAGATCAATTTTTAATAATTCCATAACAAGATTGTTCAAAAATAAAATTTTTTTTTAGATAAATTTATCTACGTACATGTTGATTTACATGCCTACACACATTAAAAAAAAAAATTGATGCGTCCCTTAAATTAGACCACCCTAGTGTATAATAACACAAATAAAATCAAAAAGAGATAGCACTATAATTTCAAAGCGGAAAAATATGTAGTAGTAGGTATACTAAATTTTATATTTTGTACTTTTGTAATGAATTTTGCCTATAATGTATATAGAAAAACTTCCCGGGCAAAGAAGTACTAGAATATGTATGTACATCATTTTAATTTTAACCTAAATTCCTTTTGTATATTATACATCTAACCACTGTATTTAAATCAAAATATACTTACGTCTGTTAAACCTTTAATTTGAAGAGCTTCTGCTGTGCTAATAAAGGCGGGTAGTGCATCCTGTTTAACATTAACTTCTCCACAATACATAAATTGAATTAAGTCTTTTAAAGCGCTATGACTAACATCCTTAAGAAATACTAATGGAAAATAAAAAAAAAATTAATATATTTTAATAAAGAAAATTAATATGGCTTACCAAATGCATGTTGATTCGTTGGCATTTGCGTAAACATTTTACGGAAATATGGTGAACATACAGATAAAACAAGACGATGCGCCTTGATAAATTGACCCTCTGCCGCTAATGTTACATCTACTAAATCTCCTCTACATAATGATTCATGAAAACCCGCAGATAAATTACTATTAAAATTATTCCAACATAATGAAAATTGTTCATCGTCCGCCATTTTTACAAATGACGATGAACTTATGAAAAAACTCTTTTATTTTTAATTCTCAATTTGTTTTGTAGCAGAATAGCCCTGTATTGGAAGAAATTGTAAAATTTTTTTTTATAATTTTGATATTATACACAATATTTTATATATGTAAATATGTATATTGTATGTACATCACTTCTAACTTAAATGGCGTCCTTTTTCTCAACTTAAATCGATAATGGCAGACATCGCTTATCGATTTATAAATTTTCACGTTAATTAAATATTGTAATTTTCTTTATTTTATAATACTATTTACACATTTATATCTGACATCCTGCAACAATTTCTGTTTATATTTTGATAGAAATTACTTTTCAGCCAAAAATTTTGGGAAATTTTTTCGATGTGACGCCATTTTCGATTTTCGTGAAAATAAATCTCCGAATTTTCAAATTTTTAAAATAATACAGAAACCTCATTGGTACTGTATTTGTATTTCATTTTTTTTGAATAAAAAAACCAAAACTCACCAAAACTTAAAAGCTTGTTTATTTCAATTAAATTTTAATTATTTGATATAATTATAATTTTTATTAAATAAAAAAAAAAAATTTCTTTAATTTTAACTCCTTTCTAACACAACTTTCTTCTCTTAATACAGAAATAGAAATAACTAGAAATGAAAAACCGAGCGAAATTCGCTGTTATCCGAAAATTGGCTTGGCTTCTTGTGATGTTGCTAAACGCTTTTGCTTTTTTGAATTTTTATAGTAAACTACAAATTCTCCTTTATAATATGACTTTATGAACTAGTACAATCCAGTGTTGTCAGATTTGTTTCTCGAAAATTCTACCACAAAGTTTTAATTTCCCATTTCGCATTTTGTAATGTTCTACTTTTCTATTGATTTTTCCTACAATAAATAAAACGTGTACAATTGGTATAACGAAAATTTGTATTAATACATAAAACTTCTATTTATAAAATAACAAATTAAAATATCTTTTTGTAAACAATAAAAAAAGAACAGGTTGACATCATTAAGTAAAAAAAAAAACCGAAACAAATAAAATTACATAAAATGTATCAACTATATAATTCGAAATTAATCATCAAAATTTTAATGTTTAGTAAAAATTCATTTCTTTTTATATTCTTTTTAGTGTATTGCACCATTTTGATAATGCGAATAATAGCTGAATTTACTCAACTTCAAACAGATTACCAAAAATAGTGAAAATTTATTAATGCCTTTTTTTAAAAATTTTAAAAAATTTTTTAGGATTTTAGGTAGCGTTTACACATCTAGCAAAGTTTGATGATTTTATTTGATTGGATGGAAATTTGATGTGAAAACGTTCAATCAAATCAAGGAAAATCGAATGAGAAAAATAGAGTCGTGTATAATTCTTATTAACTTTTTTTCAGAAATAAAAAAAAAATAGCAAGAATGTATTTTTCTCCATCGTTTTCTCGTTTGATTGATGTGTAAATGTTACCTTATAGGAAATTTGTTTTAAAACTTTGAATTTTAATTTATCGACAATGATACATTGCTATCAATAAATCAATCCACCTTTTTCTTTCTTCTTTACCAAAATTTTCATTTTTGAATCTTAAAAAATTTTTATATTTATTTCAACATTGGTTATTAAAAAGTGATTTTTTTTGTATATATGTGTATTTAAAAAAATTTTTGAAGAGAATATAAAATAAAAGTAGATAATCTGATAAAAAGCAGGCGAATTTTTTAAAAATAAAAAAATCAAAACATATTTCTTCCATTACAGAAATGCATTAATATTTTTTTTCCTTTTCCCTACAATTAACTAAAGCTGCAATTGACAATTTATATTTAAAGTTCCAACAGACACAAATTTTTCCAAGTTTTTTATTTTAGAAAATTCGGTTTTAATTTAAAAAAAAATAATTAAGTACTAAATTTGAATAAAATTTGAAAGCACCAAAACCACTACTGAAAAAAGTTCAAAATCATATTTTTGTTATGTGAAGATCAAATTATCAGGAAATTTCAAAACATATTAAATTTGCTAAACATTTGCAATAAACAAACTAAAGATTTCAAATTTACGAAAACGGGATATTTGAAATTATTTTACCGAAACGAACAATGCTAATTTTCTCCTATTCAGTTTTTATTCATGCAACTTTAAAAATTTGGAAAGTACTTTTAGTTTGACAATAAATTCATCGTTATTTCGTTGCGAAAATGATCCACGGGTATGTCTTAGATGTGAAAATTTCCGCGAGACGAATTCGATTGGCCTTGGAAGATATCATTATGCTCCACTATATCACTTTTTTGTTGAAGATAAGATTGTTGGTATCAAATGGTCCCCGTAAGCGATTCTCCCAGAAGATATTAAGAAGTTGAATGCCTGAATTCAAAATACGTTAAATCGTCAATCACTTCCATATCGTTTGAAAGAAAAATTCGATTCTTCTATTTTACTTGAATATTCGCCGATATTTCTTGCAGGCAATATCGCATTTTTTTTCGCTTGTACGTAATTAACCAGAATCATGTAAAATTAAACAACAATTTTGTAAATTATAATTTAATGTGAGCAAATAATCTGTAATTTGATCACATCGAAATTGTAGCATATTATTATATAGTAAAGATTAGCGGATCTTACAAAATCTTAATTTGAATCTAGGACGATAAAACCTGATGACGGTTTATGTACCAGACCGAATTTATCTCAGACTTTTCGTCAAAAATTGACTACGAATTGCTACGAAAGTTCTAACCAAAATAAAAATCAGTTGATCAATTTGTTGTCGCCATTTTACTTTCAAAAAAATTGACAGCAAATCTGGTGAATATAGAGTAAGTTCTATACATATTTGCTTTCAGATAAAGTCTGCAGTGAAAAAGGTTTTACATATACGGTTTTTAACAGACTCAGATTAAATCGTGCAAATTATTTACTTTCTTTTAGATTTACGTATAACTTATAATAATGTTATTTCATAAGTTAAATGATTTTTTCTTTTTCGAGAATTGAATAAAAAATTATTTAGTTTGTGTTGTCAGTTCGCAATTAAATTAATGACGGCTAATACGTGTAGTCATCTAAACGTATTAGCTTAAAAATTTTTTACAGAAAATTAATTTTATGTGGCAGCTTTGTTCACATATAGCGTCTTTGTTCAAGATGATTTTGCTGGATTTTGACATTTAATAGACAATTTGACAAACTTAACTCGATAAAACTAATTTGTAATAAGTAGTAATACACTATTTAGTGAGTTTACTTGAATTATTGGTGAAAATTTATTGTTAATTATTGTAAAGAGATGCCTATAGAAAATTTGGAGGAAGATGGGTTGGAGAAAAATCCAAATTTGGAACTGGCACAAGTTAAATTTTTGCTGTCTTTACCGGAACATCAACATGACAAAGCATTAAAAACCAAGTTGTCTGAGGCTATTATAGCTGAAAACATGGCACCATGGTACGAACAAGTTTGTAAAGAATTAAATTGGCCTCTAGATAAAACTTTACTGAGTCGTATGCAAGAAGAAAATAGAAAAAAGTTAGAAGAATTAGATGCAGCCATCGAAGATGCAGAAAAAAATTTGGGGGAAATGGAAGTGCGAGAAGCTAATTTGAAAAAATCGGAGTATTTATGTCGTATTGGAGATAAAGCCGCTGCAGAAACCGCTTTTAGGAAAACTTATGAAAAAACAGTATCCTTAGGACATCGTCTGGACATAGTTTTCCACTTAATTCGTATAGGATTATTTTATTTAGACCATGACCTCATCACAAGAAATATTGAAAAGGCAAAATACTTAATAGAAGAAGGAGGAGACTGGGATAGACGTAATCGGCTTAAGGTAATTTGTTTTGGTTATTGCATACATATATTTAAACTCAATCACTGTCTTATCATAAAGGTTTATCAAGGCGTTTACAGCATTGCTGTTAGAGATTTTAAAAGTGCTGCAACCTTCTTTTTAGATACAGTGAGCACTTTCACATCGTACGAGTTGATGGATTATCAAACATTTGTTCGATATACTGTATATGTTGCGATGATAAGTTTACCAAGGAATGAACTTAGAGATAAAGTAATTAAGGGTGCAGAAATTCAAGAGGTTTTGCATTCAACAACGGATGTGAAAAACTATTTGTTCTCGCTATACAGCTGCCAGTACGCGGATTTTTTTAAAAATTTGGCTGAAGTTGAAATTATTCTGCGTAATGACTTCTTAGTTCATCCACATTACCGTTTTTATGTGCGCGAAATGAGAATTTTGGCTTATACACAATTATTAGAGTCATATAGATCCTTAACATTGCAATATATGGCAGAAGCTTTCGGTGTAACAGTAGAATATATTGATCAGGAATTATCTCGTTTTATTGCTGCTGGTAGACTTCATTGCAAAGTTGATCGTGTTGGTGGAATAGTAGAAACAAATCGTCCTGATAATAAAAACTGGCAATATCAAGCTACAATTAAGCAGGGAGATCTTTTACTAAATCGTATTCAAAAACTAAGCCGCGTAATTAACATTTGAAATGAAATCAGAAAAATATTATTGATTGAACTTCTCAATTTTTTCGTAAATAAAAAATATTTAACTTAAAAATAAAGTTTTATTATTATATAACATAATATATTATACATTATTATTTAATCATTTAAAATAATTGAACTTACGTGTGTGCACAAAAAATAGTATGTATTGACTTTTGATTTGATTTAAAAGAATCTAGAGTCTATTATGTTTGGTAGAGTTCTTTTTTATCTGTTGCTGACTATAAAAAAAACATTTAAAGTAAACAAGTTTAACTTATAAAATTTTTAAAAATTTATTAACATTTATCTTAATGAAGTTATGTATGAAATTCTCAAAATAAACTCGAGACAAATTTTTGGTACATACATATGTATATAATTTTTCGATTTCTCTTAGTAAGAAAAATACCTACATAACGCTTGGTATTTTTCAGCTGTTTTACTTTAAATTCACTTGATTTTCAGAAAATTAATTCTTAAAGATTTTATTTTTTTAAGCAATCTTAGAATTATCATTTTATATTATTATGTACAAATATACGCATATATGTATTTATGTGGCTAAAAAACAAACAACTTGCTTTACGGTAGTTTAGCACCTATGTTATGATTATGCTATAGAAATCGGAGTATTACTTAAAATAAAATTATAAAAAACAAGTGTATATTTTTGTACTGATATTAATTAGCTTGTCTTATTTTTGTGATTCCTCTTAAAAAATGTTTCATAAAGAAGTAATGCAGAAAACAAAAAAAAAGAAAGAAATTAGCAAAAAAAAATTTAAACCCATCTTACAAATTAACTTAAAATAAAATACATACATATATTTAAAATATCTACATATGTATGTTATGTGTAAAAAAAGATTATGTAGGCACCTACTTAAAAAAAACAAACAAAAAACACATTAAATACTAATCTCTAAAAGAAGTTGAATTAGGTGATTTTTCAATATTTTTATTGAGCCAAGGGTGGTTGTCATCGTCTTCTTCATTATTGTTGTTGCATGGTTCAGTTGGGCTTGCAATCAATTCGTCATCTCTATATTGATACTCAGTTTTAGATTTTACATCGCAACTATCTCCATCCTCAATTTCCAAATTTTTATCTTCTTTAGTATTAATCTCATTATTTTTGGAATTATTAAAACTTATATTATTGTTATTATTAATTAGATTGTTTTTATGAAAATTTCTACTAAGATGCTGGAGAAAACTTTGATTAATGTCAAATTGTTGTAAATTTAAAGCATTAAAGTTGTTTACTAAATGAGGATTGGATTGGCGTTGAAGTTGTTGTTGGTGGTGATGATGATCATGGTGTTGCTGGAGTTGATGATGATGATGTGGGCCATTGAAACTTTTCATAGCATTTAATATTTTTGTTCTTTGATAATCTTTACGCAAATGTTGCCGTATTTCAGTATGACAATGCTCATTGTTTGTTACAATTATTTCACCAGTGTCTGTTGTTGTCACCCGTGCTTTACAATTATATTTACGTGATAAATTACATTGCCAATATTTTTTATCTTTACGTATGTACTGTATGCCAAATGTATGACCATCGTGTACTAGAAGTGGCTTGCCTCTTTGGCTGAGCATGAATTCAAGTTTACCATGAAACCACTTTTCTCCAGGCGATACTATATTTGTTTAAAACAATTTTTTTTTTGGGAAAATAATTTTAATTGTTAAATAAGTATAAAAGAAGAAATAATGTTAAAAATTAAGATATAATGTTAGTGAGGATGGGTTTTATTCATATTTGTGAAAATGTTAGTGAGTTTAATGATTAAGAAATGTATGTATCAAGTTTCTTCAATCTCCTTTACTTATATATATGTATAATTTTCATATTTTATTTTTTAATAATTCTTAATTAAAGTTGTCTACTCACCTGGATCTAAGGTTTTGTTATGCTTCTGTATAAATATGCATCCGTAGCAAATTTCTATAATTTTTAATTTCTGGCAAATTTTAATGCCCAGTTTAATTTTCAATTTAATACAATATTAATTTTGTTTTAAAAGAATTTTGGAACTTTTTCGCTGGAGTTTTAGTTAAATAAGGTACAATTATCCTATGTCAATGAAATATTTCAGTAATATTAATACATACTACAAACGAGTTTGAGAACAAAATATTTAAAAAAATGTTAAAAATTAAGCAGGTATTCTAAATTGTATTTGAAAATCACGGTTGAGAGTATAGCGCGTGCAAAAAATAAACTGCTACTTGATCCGTATATATTTTTTGCATTTAATTTTACATGCATAAAAAAAAGGACTCAGTTTAAATGCCAACACAAGATATGCCTACTTTTGTATGTACATGTTTGTATAACGTTATATCTGGTTATATATCTCCAAAAATATATACATAGATCTATGAGTTCCTGTGCTGTTTACTGATAAACAAAATTGGCTGTTATAATTTTTATAGCATTACGTTAAGCTACACATTATCCTATTACAAGTTACGCTTCATTATCTTTCGTTACGTTATTGCTTATATTACGTTAAACAAAAAGTTTTTGAACTAAAAAAATTTGATGATGAAATTCACTAAAATATAATTTGTATATATACAAATACAAATCAAAAATAACAAAAATTTTGGAGAAATTTAGAATTCCGATGATTTCGGATTTGAAAAAAATTTTAAACAAAAAAAACACAAAAATTCTGACTTTGACGAGCTTTATCTTGTAAACAAATCAAATTGATTGTGAGAACGAAAATAAAGAACAATCAATCGCATGTGGAACAAGCTCTCGATGGTTACTCTATGTCCCATAGTTCAGAAGTTTTAAACAGGTATATGCAGGAAAAATTTCATACCTTGTTTCAACAGGCTGTATCTCGAAAAAGAGTCTAACTGCAGCCCTCCCCCTCCCCTATCCTTACAATTTTTAGCTGGAAATTGATCAAAGAATCACACCCGAAAACATTTGCATAAAACAATAAGGGAGATTATGTGATCGGCCCAAATATCTCTTGTCGAATTTTAAACGGAAATGCACTTCTTCTTAATAGAGGACGTTAATAAACTTCCTCTTTAAGCAAATTTTCAGCAGGGCGGTCCGTTTGTGTCTGCCTGTTTCTCAATTTTCTCAATTCTCGTGTTTCTCAATTTTGACAAAAGCGATTGTAATGAAATTTTTAATTTAAGTTTTCTTTGGCCAATAAACTTTTAAGATATCTTAAGTCTGAACAACTAAAACTATTACGCGCCAGATTTAAATTTTGGATTAAACAGATATTAAATCCCTTTGAAAGTAAGACAAGACACCCGATTTTTCGGGGCAGCCTGATTTTTGAGGTACCAGTAACTGGTACGAACACTAAATGGTAATAGTCAACTAATTCTCTTAAAATTTAAGTTATTGAAACAATGAACTGGCAAATTTTTTAGAAATATCTAGTTACAAATAAATAATTTAGAGTTTAAAAAGTTTCACTAGGGACTGATTCTAATATAATTGAAAAACAATATTAGGTTCTGTTCAGCACTAACTGATGAACTTTTCAGGGAAACCAGATTTTAAAAAGTAAACTTCTAAAAATAACCAAATTTACATTTTCTTCCGCAAATAAAAGTAAAACGCAGTAGAAATTGAACGTTTAAACTTTTCTGTTTGGTGGTACATAGATTCCGAATAAAGAACATTAGAAAATGTATTTGTGCAAAAGTAAATACGTAAAATTTTATGTTAAAATCAATTTATAACTTAAACCTCATCATCAAATTATATAAAGCTATTATTTAATTATTGATACCTTAAATTTTTTTTAATTATTCTTATAATATAATTTATGTTTTTATTCGCGAATTTATAGTTGGATTAAATTTTGCACTACAGAGTGCTCGTAGCAAAATGTTAATAAAATATTACTACGAAATATAAAGTAATTAGCTTTTTTTTTAATAAAAATTTTAATATTAATAGTTTATTATCTTAAATTTCTAATAACACAATAATTATTTTGTATATTTTATATATTTTTTGCAACATAAAATAAAAAAAAATAACATCTAAAACAAAAATTTAACAATTTTAAAGATTATCTTTTCTCTATTACATAAAAACGTAAATAAATCCTCGAAAACAATAATAATTATTATAAATTTAAAAACAATTATGCATATTTGCTTTCCATATATAAGTTTATATTTATATATGTAAAACATATATTATAAATATATTTTATACATATGTATATAAATACACATATATATGTTTATACTATACTATATATCAATACTATATATATATATAGTATTGAATATAATTTTTAAATATAAAGTTCCTTTTTCGATTGGGTAATAATAGATAATAAAATATATTCATATGAAATTTATGAAAAAGGAAACACTTTTCCAATGACTTAAGTTAGTTATTCTTTATATAAGCTTAAAAAAGCTTAAAAAATATTTACAAATGTGTGCCTTATTTATATAAAACAAAAAATGAACGTAATAATAAAATTTATTTGCCAATATGTTTATGATGTTATCGACTATAAGTTTAACATTTTCTTGCTCATTTCTACTTCATATTTTTTTGGTTTATAGAAATATTACTCGAGCGCATTTGTTTTTACATGTCTTCTATTTTAAAAGCAGGATGTGGTTCTGGTGATATACTTATTGTTGCTAACATACTCGATTGGCTTGAATTATGTGGATGACTATTACCGTTTTCATTAATATTATTTATATCGCTATCATTTTCATCGTCGTTATTATTATGATGGGACCCTTCAACTTTTTTACCGTTATTATCAGTTGGTTCATTTGCAACAATTATTGTTGAATGATGATGGTGATGTGAATTATGCGAGTGATGATGATGATGACGATCTTCTATTGTTTGTAAATTATTGTCGTTAACAGCGTTATTTTGATTTGTTGATGATATTGGAGAATTTAATGGTATTTGATTTTGTGATTGTTGTAAAGTTGGGGATTCTATTCCTTGACCATGATTACTACGATGATGATTATGATGATGTTGTATTTCAGAATCATTTCTTCGATCTGAATTTTGTGGACTATGTAAATTTGGGCTATTGTCACCATTATCGTTATTATTATCACTGCCTTCTATTGTTGTTGCCATTTGTACGTTTGATGCCAATGATTGAAGATGATGATGATGATGTGAATGATGGTGCATATTATGATGATGTATATGATGATGATGTGGATGTATTAAGGTTGGAGAAGTTGAAGATATTTCAGATGGAGATAATTGAGAAATTTGGTGTTGCAAATGTTGTAAACTTGAATGATGAGATGGTTGTTGTTGATGTGCATGAATAGGAGACAAAGGTTGCTGCTGTTGAAGTTGTTGTTGACTCATAGAATTGTTGACATTTAATATGCTGCCAGATAAATTTGACAAATGCACCAAACTGTTTGAATGTGATAAAACATTTTGCATCAAATTGTGATGTTGATGCTGCTGTGACTGATGTGGATTATTAGATAAACCAGTATTTGGTGGCGAGTTACTAAAATTATTATTATTCCCAGTAGTTACATTTAAATGACTTAAATGAGATGTTGAATTTTGAAAATTTGGAGGTAATTGCTGTAAATGTAAATTTGAATTTTGCGTCAAACGCATATTCGGGCTGCTTAAATTAGCTGAAGAGGAATTTGAATTAGATTCTAGTCCTCCACTATTTACATTACTTAATATATTGTTGCCATTATTCGAACCATTGCTGTTACCACCACTATTTGCACCAAAGACGCCAATTCCTAAAGCACCATGTATATTAGTGTTATTTATGTTTGTATTACTTAATCCTAATCCAGCTGCAGTTTGATTTAATGAGGTAGCTGATGTTACTGATAATAAAGCAGTTTGAGAAGATTGTTGCTGTTGTAATCCAGGTACTTGATGATGTTGTTGCTGTGATATTTGTGATGTTGATGTTTGCTGTGTTTGTTGCTGTTGTTGCTGTGGATGTTGAGATTGTTGGGTCGAAGGGAATTGAAATAGACTCATATTAATAATTTCATTGTTTTTCATATGTGGTGGATGGTTATGAACTCCTGTTGCACTTATAACGCGTCCCTGATGTGTTATGCAACGTGCCCGACACATACTTATGCGATATGATTTGCACAGCCAGTATGTTTTCATACCTTGTTGTGTTGCAACAGTATTATTTCGATTGAATATACAACTTCCATGCAATAAGGATGTTGACGACAGCATTGTTATTGCATTACCAGCTACTATTTTGTATATTGGTTATTATATACATTCACGTGTTTTTTAATTTTTGAGAGGAAAAGTTGAAAAAAATTATAGTTTGAAAAACATTCTTTTTTTTTATTAAGTTTAGTTCTTTTAATTAAAAAAAAATATATAAAATAATTACTATTTACAGAATTTGGATAGTAATGAAAATTATTTACATTTTGGTGCTTGCCTCACATTACTTTTTGTTTTGTTTAATAAAACTTATAATACTCGATTTAGCGATGTGCAAAAATGACTTTTTTTTTATATATTATAAATAATTATGCATATTAATTTACAAAGTAAAATAAATTTTATGAATATTTAAACGTAAAAAAAATTGTTAATTATAATTACAAGAAATTAAGAAAAAATAAAGCTAGTAAAAATTGAATTTAAAATAAGGAAGCATGTTTGAAAATTAGTTACATAAATAAACGAAAAATATACAGTGTAGGTGTGTGTATAAATTATTTAGGTAAATCGCTGATAGTAAAACAAAAAAAAAATTAAAAACCTTTCATTATAGGTTTCTTTCAGAATGTTAAAAGAAACACTTTGCCACCAAAAAATATTCGTAAGCGGCCACCATATTTTAATGTTAGCTTCAACGGAAAATAGTCGAATCTATAGAACAATTAGTAAACTACCGACAAAAATTTTTTTGATTTTCCCTTTTTTCATTAAAAAAATAATGTAAACCAAATAATTTACACATTTGTAAAATGAAATTATAGTAATTAATAATGATTTTTGAAATATAATTGAAATTAAAACAAAAATCAAAATAAACCTCAGATTATCAAATTACGTATAAAAATCGTTTACTTTTTTTATTTATTTAGTCGTTCGTAATCGTTTATTCTTCCATGGAACATTTTGAATATTTTACTAGTTTTATTTAGAGATATATGTACATATAAATTTATTGGCAAATTGAAGCTAATTGTGAACAGAAATTAAATAAGCATAAAATAGGAGATATATCCATCAAATTTTAATACTCGCAAGAAATCTGTTACATATTTATCTTTTAAAGAAATTCGTACTTATTCGGAGTTCAAGTTCTGTAGTTAAAACAAACTATTTTAAGGAAGAAAATAGTAAGGGTTAGTTTATATTGAAATTACGTTTGGATAAATGTATGTTCAATTTTATACAGGATACCCGAAACCTTAGTTTACAACAAATAAAAATATCCACAACCAAGAACAAACTTTTTGGTGTTAGTATATACATTTAAAATTAGGTAATGTGCATCTTATAATTTGGATTAAATGGGAAACTTATTAAGATAATTGCATAGGTTCCTTTGAAAAACGTAAATGTCTAAGGAAAGATAATTTCAATTAACTATATCTTTCGGATTACGTTACGCATATTCTAGTGACAAATATGTAAAATAAAATAAGTAGAAATTTTCTTTTTAGCATTGTAACTTAAATTTGGAACCATAAATTTAATGATTTTACCCTCAGAAACAAGGTATTTTCGTAATTTAGTTTGAAAAAATGTGTAAAATAGATAAAAAGATTAAAAATTATAATAAAAACAAAAGTTATAAATTTTTAATATGTATTCAAAAAGATTGAAGCATTTAAAGAAACACATGATGTATGTATATATGAATGATGATTTCTCTATGTCATGTATGTATGTATGTATTTATTCTATTAAAAGCATTCATGCAAAAAAAAAAGAAAAAATAAATAAAAAAAAATTTACAGAGGAAAATGATTGAACTTACCTGCTGGTATGTCCATATGATTTGCTGTACTTTTGGAAAAATCATTCGGTAAATGCAAATCGTTCGGATATTCCAAATTTTTGTTTGCTGCAGCAGCTGCATAAATATTGTATTCGAAATTAAAGTGTGGTAATTGCGATCTTAATGAAGAAACATTGCTATTGCCAGCCCCATTGGGACTTATTGAGCGTGATGAATGATGATCACTTATTTCACGTTTTACATTAATTAAATTAAAACGTGAATCATTATTACTACCAATATTTCCAATATTGCTACTTATTGCACTGGGATCATTACCCCCACTTGAACCACTGCTGGTACCGCCACCGCTTCCGCCGCCCCCCATTGTAATTTGTGGTATTGGTGGTAAGAATACATCTTCTGGATTCATATGATCTATTGAATCATTACTATTAATATTATGATGATGTTCACTCAATTCTGAGACTGTCCTTTTCATTTGTTTTCGAGAATAAATTGATAAAGAATCATTTGGAAAATCATTTAATCGCTTTAAGTTTAACGATGAATTTGCTGTTGCAGGACCAATAGATGATATTGATGATGATGAATTCTCTGATATATGCGTTCGTGATAATTGTTGTTGTTGTTGCAAGGAGTGATGAGATTGCTGTTGTAATTGACTTGTTGATGAATGAGAATTTTTCGGTTCTAATTGATTATTGTTGCTATTATTGTTGTTGCTACTATGAGCAGCTGACGAAGATATTGTATCAGGTGAGTTTAAATTATTATTACTATTACTATTATTATTATTGTTGTTGTTGTTATTATGTATACTAGATGATGATTTACTAGTTATTGGATTTTGTGTTAAAGATGATGATGAATTGGTTGCTGTTTGATGATGGTCATGATCCGTATGTATCATTGGCGATTTTGGTGAATTGTTTGAATTATTATTACTACTTCCTGTTAAACCTTTTATTTGTAATAGTTGAGCTATTTTCATAAAAGATGATAATTCCGTTTGTTTCACATTAACAACACCTTGATACATAAATTGTAATAATTCGCACATTACATTAAATGTAACATCTTTGAGAATTACTGAAATAAAAAAATAAAGAAAACAGAATTGAATTGAAAATAATTTTGCAATAAATAAAATATAATTAATTGCATTAATAAAAATAATGATGAAATATGATGAAATCCTTTTCGTTGATATTATTAAATTATTTTTGTTAGTTTTACTCGTACTAGTTATACAATTAAATTTACAACTTTTTTCAAAATTTACTATGAGGGCGATATCCATATATGTATGTATATCGTTTCAAGAAGCTTTGTGAAACTTGGCGTGCATGGAATGCAAACATTTAAAATATTTTTATCAATTTAGTCAGTAATTTTATTTATGCATCAATAATCTTCTATCGGCTGTCAATATTCAATAAACAATATTTAATCAGCTCGGATAAATTCTATTAGAAATTTTACACTTTTACAGCAAAATTACTACAATTTTCCAATATGTAATTTTGATTAAATGTTTTTGATTTTTAAAAAAATTAATAAATCATAAAATACAATATATAAACAAAAAAATAAAAAAAGGGAAAAATAAAAATCTTTTATCTAATTTTTTTTATTATCTACAGCAATAATTTAAGTAGTTAAGTCCTTTACAAAATAAAATTATATTTTTTGGACTACTACCTACTACCAAAACTATACGAAATTTAGATTACAAAATTTCGTTGTTATAATTTTTATGATTTTTTTTTTTTTGGACAATTTTATAACTTAAGTACATATGTGTGTATCACACTTATTTTATATTATGACATACTTAGTATAGAGTATATAATACGATAAATTTGAGAAGGTATTAGATAAAGTTTTATTTAAATAACACAATGGTGATAACATACGAGTCACGGTATTTGAAATATCTTGAAGAATTCGAAGATAATAAGCGATAAAATAAAAGTTTTAAGCAGTTTTACTTTATGATTATCAAAAAAAAGAAAAGTACAAAAATAAAATTTTTGATAAAATAAAATTTGGCCTTGTTACAAAAGTAGTAAATTTGATATTAAAATTTTTGAATTTTTTCAATTTATAATAAAATTTGTTCTGATTGTACTTGAATTTTATTATTATTGTTGATAATATTTAATTTATCCCATTTTAAAGTAATAATTGATATGTTTGTTAATTGACGTGAGTTTTTTTTTATTTTTGGAAAAAGTTATCAATTTTATAAGATAAAAAAATGTATATTATTTTTTTTTGTATAAAGTGGACATTTTGGTTATTGAAGAATATGTACTTTTATACTTGAACAGTAATACCCCGTTAAAGCCAATGATATTCTAAAAAGTTTTATAGACTTGATGTAAAAAATTTTGACAAGGTATTTTGATCTTTTGTTAAGAATCAATTGAAAATTTAAATAATTCATTAAAAAATGTATTTTTTAAAACAAAAAGTTCAAGTATTATAATTGCATTTCTTAGAATATTTGCATGAATTTACATTTTCATATTACAATATGTTTTGTTTATGTAACAAATTGAAGTAACAATGAGAAAAAACAACTGATCTGGTCAAGGTGTAATTAACACTTCTTTTAAATTTTAAGGATGCTATTAAGCTTTTAGTTAACATACTTAGAATAATGTAAATTTAATTCTAAAATATAGTTAATTTTGTAACCCCTGAATTCCCTAAAAAGTTTGTCAGTAAATTAAATTTCGAAAAAGTTACAGTTCCTGGGACGTTTGAATTTGATCCAATGCTGATCAAATAGCGTCATCCTCAAAGTAAACTCACATATAAAATTTCATCAAAATCGGTTTAGCCGGTCTTGAAATACATACGTGCCCGCACAGTTCAACAGATAGAAATTTTCCTTAAAATATTGATTTACGCTTCCTTGCCATGGAGAAAAACGTTTCATCTCGAAGAAAACTCGATAAGCGAAATTAGATGACATTAGATAACCTTCTTTGTTGTATGCAATGCGATCGGTAAAAAAGTGGAAAAATATTTAGGTAAAAAAACAACACTTATTTATAATATACAATGTATTACTCAAAAAATAACAAGGTTTTGAAAAAAAATATAAGAATAAAAAAATGTCTAAAATAAGTTTCTACATCTATAGCTCATAATGTGTTAACTGCGAATATAATAAACCAGAGTAATGTACCTTAATGGAGGTATTTAGAATTCGTTTTCTAAATCCAATTCAATTTGATTTAATAGCATGTTTGATTATTTCAACTTATTTTCATTTCAATAAATTTTAACTTATTTTCATTTCTGTGAATTAAGTATTCAAATAATTTGAATTTTTTATAATGATAGCTAAAATATTTGAATGAAATTGTTAAATAATAAATAAAAGCATATATATATCGAAAATATCAACTTTAATAAAATAATGTATTATATAACATATTATATGTACATATGTATGTATGTAGATATAATAAAATAGTCATTAATGTTATTAAAAATATTTTATGTTATAAAATATTTATAAATTAGACTATCTTTTATGTCATTTTATTAATTAACAATATTTAAATTCAACTTCTAAAACATAGATATATATATATATATATATACATACATATATGTATATATCATAATAAGAGATTCTAAGACAGCATACTTTTAAAAGTTTATTTCTTAATAATTAATAAAAAGAATTAGTATGAATGTTAACAAAAAAATGTTTTAAATGACGAGACAAATTACTTCAGAAAATTACAAACGTTTTTTGTTGTAAATTAAAACTGTAAACAAAATAATACAAATTGGTATCTACCAATGCAATGGGCAATTAAGCTTAGTTACGTCTCAGATGCTTGTAACATATTTCAATAACAATAGTTAGAACAAAATCATTATTATTTCCCATTTTACATTAAATTTTTTCAATTTAAGATGAAATTTCAGGAAACGAAAATAAAATATGAAAGAAAATTGAATATAGACTTTAAGACAATTCAATAAGGTACTTGAAGGGGAAAATAATTATGAAAGTTAATAAAGAAATTCCTTGCAATGTCTGTGTAATTTCCATTAAATCAACTTTTGAGGAATAAGAATTAAATTAAATTTAAAAATAAATATAAATTTAAAAACGAATACTTTACAATCACCATTATGCCCGTCATCTTATATTTAATTTCATTAGATATTTTAAACTAGAAACTCTCAAATGAACAATAACCAAAAAATTTTTATAAAAATGATAAATTTATTTGGATTTGATGAGATATGCATACACAAATATGCTAACGAAATCGTCAAAATAATAAATAAGTAATTTATAATAAAATAATATTTTTTTTTGAATCAACAATATAAAATTAAACATAATTTACATGACCGAATTGACATTTTTTGTTATAATATGCGATAAACCCTTTTATTAAACTGTAAGTTTTGAGATTGATACAATTAAAACTTTTTTTAGAAAATTCAAGAAACAGTGATAAAATTTTGAAAAATGGAGGGAAAAAGTAGGAGCCATGTAAATATTAAATGTAGTGAACGTTATTATCTTTTAAACGATTTTTTCACGTTAACAAAAAATTAAACTATATGAATTTTTATTAATCAAAATTGAAATTATTAAAACTCCAAATAACAATTTGAAATATTAACTACAATTAATTTTTCTGCTTTAAGAATCCTTTAAAAAAAATTGGCCAAAATTGTGACACTTTTAACTCAGTTTAAGAGTTTCAATATCTAGGAAATACAATTGAGTATGAAATGGATTAATTTGAGGTCTGTGTGTTTTATTATTACAAATATGTACATATATGTATGTAAATATTAAAATAAAAACTTTAAGTATAAAATTTTAATACTTAATTTATCAAATATTTAAATCAATATACCAGTAAAAGGATCAATATAGAATTATAAACAGGCATCAATATTTTTATCACTTTTTTTTAATTTTGTTTTGTCAAATTGAGATATTCATTGTTGTAAATGTTTCTGACTTTCAAAAATATTTTGCAAAAATCACATTTTTTTTTTAATAAAATAAGAAATTTCTACATATACTTATGTATACATACTACTGTATAACTCAATAACTCCTCAATAAAAATAATATAACCTCAAAAATATTTTGTGTCATGTATACATTTTAATTGCCTATATTAATACAAAATGTTCAAACTATAGTAAAACTTTTTTCACTGTAACTGCTGAATAACATTAAATTTGGATTTCGTTGAACATCTTAATGTTCTTCATATTGTTTGTCATCTTCACATCTTGCACTTAATATGTATGTATTATATTAAATAATTGGGTCAAGATATTGATTAATAAATTATTAAATCAAGATATTGTTTACATATTTGACAAAATTACTGAAAGTCGTATCACTATGTAAACACTGTTTGACATCAAATTTTGTCTGACGGTAAATAATTAAAATTCCTCTGTTCTCAGCCGACTTGCTAAAATCTTTTCTAAAGTAAAATGGCAACGAATTGATTTTTTTTGAGACCCTTGGACAACGATCAGCTGTCATTTTTATTTATTAGATTCTAATAATTAGACCCGCGTCAATTCAATTTGTTCAGATCCCTGGATCCTTGACTTTGAAATTGTAGTAATTTTGTGTTAATTAAAAATTTTGATTATGAAAAGAATATTTGATTGTTTTTGTTTATCTTTTCTTTTGTAAATATTCAGCCAAATGATGGTTTATAATATTTTTTTTTCATTTGAAATTCCTATAGACATGAGCACAAACTTATTTATATACATATGTACGTTAGAAAAAAAGTAATTTAATTTCACACTTATATTTTTTTTAATATAAATGGTAAAATTTGAAAATACATACATATTAAATATATTTACAAATGAAAAATTTATTTTTGTTTGTTTAAATTACATTTTTCTTGCAAAAATATTTTGTACATATTTCTGCACTTTGATAAGATTGATAAAAATATAGTGATCATTTTAATCAAGAACAAAATATAGAAAAACAAAATTATATAAATACGTACATTATGTACAATGACTATACTATGTGTAATAAGCATGAGGAGAAA